TAGTTTTTCTTAATGGTAGCAGATCCAACGAGGCAAGTGAGAAATGGAGGATAGAAACAAGAAAATTAAACATTGGTATCAACACCTACTCTATTATAATTATTATTATTCCTACAGTGAAGGACAAACGCCTTTCTGGGAAGGCTTTGAGTATGAGAAAGGAGTATCTAAGCTACCGAAAGTCTACTGTAATGAGTCTGTGCATTAAATGTATCGTGCACAGAAAAGCAGTCTTTTGGTCTCATGAGGTCTAATTGGTCTGTGCAAACTTAACACGATTAAAAAGTCATCCGCCGCTTGCCAGTGTTGAGCCTTAGAAAAAAAAGAAACAAACTGAACATGAACGTAAGGAGAGCAAAGGCAGTCGGAAGGTAGAGAAACTCTGGGAACAGGCACAGGGTGGCACTGATGCCAACAAGCTACAGTAACAGTCACCCCCCACAGCTGGTGGACTAACCATTTCAAAGGTGTTTCATCCGGATACGGGGATGGGTTAAAACGCGCACGCGCCTGACTCTAGTCTGTCAAGACTCTCCCTTTACCTCACAGGCACACAGGCTTTCAGCTCACCCCAACGGTTGACACTGGCCAACTGATGTTGCCTGGCAACCCCAGTAAAATGTTTGAAAAGCTCGAGAAATGGATACCGAGCTGTGAGCTTTGTTTTAGTCTTACCACGTCTTGGGAATTAACTGCCTTGGTGGTTCCATATTTGGATTTATTTCTTTAAACATGTCCCCAGGAGGGAAATTGGCCAAGGCTGCATACGAATTTTCAAACGCCCTCTTTGTTGCTTGTCCTTTTCACTTGTGATATGCATTCAGGACAAATTGTCTATACATACACATCTGTGTTTCCTGGTTTACAGCGGTTTAATTCACTTTTCCTAAAAACCCCTGTCTTTCTGCTTTCCTTTTTGAAGCCTGAAGAGATGTAAAATATGTCACCGTGGAAACAACTTCATCTGCATTTGACATTCCTGAAGGCTGATAAGGAGCAGAGGTCCACATTTCCCAAGGTTGTTCCTTAATTTGCCATTTTTTTAAGACGAGGAGTTCCAAGCTAATTGCAACAAAACTGACAACAACCAAACTGCTGCACTAAGATACATACTGTATATTGCTATCTGTTGTGCTAGGTGAACACAGAACTCTATGTATATGTCTTGACAGAGCCAGTCTTGATTAAGACGAAAAGATTTGGTGTGAAATTTAAAAAAAAAAAAAACAAGGAGGAATCACAAATCTCCCAAGACATTTTTTTTTCATGGCTCAGACTGCAGCTCAAGAAAGCAGCCCAGGTTCGAATCAGTTATCATTTTCTTATCTCATAATGTGGCTTGATTTCACATTCCAGAAATACCAGTCAGAAATTCCAGTCACTGACCTTTTGACCCCAGTTGACTGATCCCCTCCTGTTGTTTCTGCTTAACCTTTGTGTCCAACTATTACATGCGATTGCGCTGTCTACAAGTTTGTGCCGTTTGCCAGTTCTCACTTGAAATGTGTCCCTGTCTATGGTAGAATATTTCTACATGGCAGCTAAAGAGATTTAAAATCATGTCTTCTTTCATAATGTTCCAGCTCCTTTGTCATGACTTTGAGAATTCCGTCATTGTAACTGGTAGACCTGTGGTTTATCACTGTCGTGTTTCTTTATTGTGGGTGCTCAGCAATGTGCATTTGAAGTCTATTAAATTACATATAGTCCTGAATAACAGAGGAAGAATGCTGTGAAAAAAGTCTGTTAAGTATTTCCATAGTTTTACTTTGTCTATATAATCCATTTACCCAGCTTAGTACGCTTATCATTGCTTTTGCAATGAATTAATTGGGCTCCACTCTGCATGACTCCATTTTGTATGTTGGTTAACCATTGTAAACCTTTAGAAGTGAAACACTAAAATGATCAGGGCTATAATATTGATACACTTACTGCAATGAGCAGACGCTGAAGCAGTAAGAGAGAGGAAGAAGATACAAAACTGGCAAAATCTACATATGGTTCTAACTGTATGGTCCTTAAAGTATATGCAACTTTGTGTTTGTGTTTTTCCTACCGTTACAAAATATTTTCCTTACACCTATTTTGTTTCTATCGGTCATGCTGTGAAGGAGTGGGTCTGAGTCACTGTACAGGGGCACTGGCTTAGAAACTCTGGTCCAGAGGGAAGAGCACCTCCTACTGGTCGACTAACACCACTTACAGCAGCAGCCTGGCCTTTCCAGGGGGTCTCCAATCCGTGCAATGCCTGTACTGACCAGGCCCAGCCCTGCTGAGCATCCGAGACCTGTCCCGATCAGGCTACGAGATCAAGATTGTAAATATACTTTTTTTTTTCCCTTAGACGCTATCGGGAAAACACATAACCAAAAATAACCTCCTAACACTTCTTCTAAGCCTCTGGCGCATGCCAGGTACAGTATTCCCTGCGAGCCAGGCTCTTTAACTTTAAATGAAGGGAGATTACTGGGGTGTCGTGGAAACTTCTGTCTTCTGTGACCTTTTATTGCTTGGCTGCTCCTGTGCCTCATGTTGCAATTAGATAGAAAAAAGAGATCTGTTGTCCCAACACGCTGGCCCTGTGTCATTCCATTGTGTTTACTGGCCTTGGCCATTCTCCCACACTGTCTGGCTTTGCTGTTCTTCCAAGCTGCCTGCTACAGTGAAGCGAATGAGGTCGCGGCGATCAATTATTCATTTTTTTATTCAAGACCAGTATGGAGCTGCCGCCGGGATATTTATAGCCGGCACTGGTGGTATCAAGACAAGTCTGAATGAAAGCTTTTTAATATGCAGAAAAGCCTGACACCACATCCTGGCTGAAATATTACACTGTTAATCTCGCTGAAGGGTGCAATTCCACCTCCCCCCTCACTCCCCCCCGCCTGCCAGCTTTCCACAAGCAACGTGTCTGAGACATCAGTATGGGCCATTGCTGGAAAGGTACACATCCTGTAAACTGTACTATAAGACAGCCAGAAAACAACCCCCCCCCGGTTTTTCATCTTCAGGCAAACAATAACTTGTCCTCCAGATGCGTTTCCAAATGCTTAGAGCTGGGGGTTTTTTTTGCAGCAACTGCATTGTGGTTTACGTATCCAGTTCTGTATTTAGCACTTCACAATACACCGCTCCTCTTACTGTGCGCCTGAACGTAAGCCTAGATTATTTCATTATGAGCAGCAGTGCGGTTTTGTGCATGTTGACAGGCACTTAAAATGAAAACGGGACAAAATAAGCGAACCTGTTATTTCATATTCTTCTGGACTCAAGTTGACATTGAAAGGTTAAGTCTTGTGTGTCGTTGCCTCATGAAACAATCTTTGGTGGGAAAAGAATACGCCTTTTATTTCGGCGTCTACGGGTTTGGAAAGCAAGGCTGCCCCAGTGCGGGTTTGCTCTGTGTTTAGTGTTGTGACCTCTTATTGCAAAGAAATGGCAGGATCGCTGGACACTCACCTGATGAAAGGGAAGCATAGTCTCATCATGTCACAGGCAGTGTTGTGCTACAGGCAGGAGGAGACGTGGACTTTAAAGGCGAGTGTGAGATTTGTTTCTGTGATCTTGCTTGCTGTGCTACACAGACGGACGCCTGTTCTGTAAGGGAGAGAGAGTAGCTACTCCAAGCCCTCCAGCTGAAAATCAGGCTGAAATGTGCGACCATTTGAAAATGGGGAACTATTACAATCAAAGTCCATATTGGTTCACAACAAGAATGGCTCACCTTGGATGTGTCAGGTAATATGTTATCTTAATTTTTAAATAATTGAAGGACAACTACATATAAACGTAGAGTAACTGAAAATTGTAACCACGCTGTATGTAGTGTATCATCCATGTTAGGCCCAGATGTAACGTGCATACAGAAATTATTATCCTCAGTCTTAAAGATGTGCAGCTGAACTCCAGGATGACAGATTTGTCCCTACAAGTCACACTTTTGACGGAAAGATATTTCTTGATTCCAGCTTTATGGAAAGTGGTTCAAAATTCCTCCATCTTTCAGCTTTTTTTCAGATGACTACCCCCAGAAGACAAAACTGACTCGTGTAGCTCAACAATCTCTAAATGTACTTTAAAAATAAATGTATCCACATATTTTGCATTGCTATAAGGTTAGTACCTAAACAAACAAGGTAAAAACTCCCGATAGAACTGTGTAAATAGAAAAATGTAACTGAAGAAAGCTTGGCTGCGAAAAACACCTTGTATGCATAAAATGATGCGTAAATAATATTAAGGAAATCATATTTCTACAAATGAATTCCATTCTGCTGCACTAATTTAGGATTTGGCAAGGTTTGAAGAAAAACCTGAACTTGCACATCAGCTGTAGCCTGTGTGTTTCCATGGGGTCTGTAAACAGTGTCTGGCAAATGGGTAAGGTTTGGATTTAACGTTGGCCTTCAATGGACTGAAATCAGCCTGCTCAGCAAGCCATGTGTTAGCAGGAACGAAAATGGAGTGCTGAATTTAATTTTGAAAGCAAAGAGGAGTGGAGTTTTTTTTTTTAGTAAAACTAGCACTTCCCAAAAGCTCACTCGCCCCCAAAATTGGAAAGTGTGTAAAAGTGGACCCTCCGTGCACAGAAGTTCTTCTCTCCAAAATACTTTTATTTAAAAACACAAACAGCCATGAGCTCATCCAACATTATATATATATATATTTAGACAGCAATTTCTTCAAGGTGCATAAACATTCTGAAGTGAAGTAGTTGTGTGAACAGAAGCCTGCATTTCTACAGCTATATCTATGTTTTACCACCATTACGGAACAGAGATATGGACCCATGAAGGGCCTGAGGTACAAAAATAGAGATATCCCAATGGAAAGTCAATATCCATCCCACAATCCGAGCTCAGACTATGATCTTTGATAACCATGCGGCCCTCTATTCCAGAACACGTGTCCAAAGGGATATTGCAAACTCCTATCAGGAATGTGGTCGAGCCTGTCCCGTGGTATGTAAGACATATGCACACATGTGGATTTCTCTCTTTTTTTTTTTTTCAGCTCTTGCATATGAAATAAGGTGTGGAATGGTGCACGCCCCTGGCTTATATTAAATAAATGACATCGTCGGAGTGTCCATTTCATTCAGTAGTTCTGTACTGGAGTCTGCAAAGTAATACATGTAAGGCGTTGTGAGTGAGATCCTGAGAAAGATGTGAAAACTTGGGGGCAATCAGAAGTAAGCAGGGGGCAGGGACTGCGGGGGGGGGGATTTGGAGGGGAAAAGCTGGTTTAGGGAAGTGGCCGCGTAATCTTTTGATACAGTACTGTGCTCTTCAGCAACTTCCTGAAGATTTGTCCTAAAAGATGCAGAAATTAAAAAAGAAGATGTTGTCAATTTTCAAGACACTTCATGACTGTATGCTTTAGGAAGTGGGTGACCAGTCTACTATGGTCTCCTGGGGAACTGGGCCTGCTCCAACTAACAATAATATATGTTCCCAAAGCCCCTTAACTTGGAGCTTGTTTGTGTAAATGCCAAGATCAGTAGGCTGAATGGCTTCCTACGGCCTGTAACCTTCTTTAAAAGAGAGGACAAAGCCCAATTCTGCTGGTACAGACAAACCCAGGATGCCCAGGGAGAGTTCAAAGGTCAGTTTCAGTGGTTTTTGCGTTCAGTTGCCTATAATCATTTTATTTCTTCAAATATTCCAATTTAATATTGCAAACAACGTCACAACATACAAAATGAATTATATTAATCCAGAACAAATGTCAATGAATAATCTTTATATTTTCATATCTTTTTTTTTTTTAAACCTGTGGGATTAAAAAAATAAACAGCAAAGCTTTGACAACAGCACCTTGACATTAGTAATTCCAACACTGCCTCTGAGAAGTTTAAAGCAGTAAACAGATAAAGTACTATCAGGAAGAAAGACCACTTACTGTTAAAAATGTAAACGGAATGTTTTGGTCGGAATTTATATCCTTTTTGTTTCCAAAGTGGACAGTTTTCTCAATTCACAATTGAAGCAGCATGCAGTATTTTTAGATTTTTTTTTTTTAACTCTTCCCTCATTTTTTTTCCTCTTTTTTTTCACCCCAAATTCTTGGCAACGTAAACAGACCACAATGTTTTGAGGAATGTCATACAGAGTTAATTTCAGATTGTGCGCAAATGACTGATTGATTTTTTTTTTTTAATTTTAACTTTTTTCGTCTCCGAAGGTCATGTTTATGTTCAATAAATAGACTGTATTACCACTTTACTGTATAAACTTCATCTTTTTTTTTTACATGCAGTCCATAAAATTTTTTCATTTGACGGAATAATTTACCCTGTTATGTATATATACAAATAGATATTTTCTCTCTGTTTTTTTTTTTTTACTCTCAATAAAATCTATACAACATTTAATTCACTATCTCCCCCTCTTAATGGTGAGCGTACATACACACGAAGTGTCTATTCTTATAAAGCGCCAGGCTTTTTTTTTCTTGTTATCCATGGTGAATGCCCGGACAAATGACTGGGTTGTCCGACACTGAGAGTTGTAGTGGCGTTTGTCTATCCCTCTACAAGCCTCGTTGGTGTACCCCTTGGGGTTGCATTTGGTCTCATAAAAGTATTGCTTGAGTTGGCCATTGGACACCGGCACCTTCTCTAGCACTGTGACGGTCTGCCCAGACATGTCCACTGCGGTCTTCTTTTCCACGGCCGTCACCCACTGGCTAATACTGTCACACACACTCAGCTCCCCCCTCCGCGCCGGGTCGGAGTGCCTTCTCACCCGCATGGACATGTTCGCCGCGTCCAGGTAGTTTTTGTACTCCTCCAGGAGAAAGAGCAGAGGGGGCTCCAAAGGCACTTGGTTGCTGATCATCACCCGCGACGTGTACAGGTCCGCGTCTCGGGGCTCGTCCCCCTGGGCGGCCCCAGCCCCCCGCGGCTCCCCCTCGCCCTCCAGCAGCTCCTCGATCACCTGCTCAAACGTGTCCGCCAGGGACGGCAGCCCCCGCGGCGCCCCGCCCCCGCTCTCCGGAGTCCCGTGGCCTCGCGCCGCGCCCGGGTAACCCACGCCGAAGTGGCTGCGGATCCCGGCTGCTTCTTTCATGGGGGCAGCTCTCATGCAACTGAAGTACGAAATTACCATAGTAAGGAACAGGATGGTCATCACTCTTCTCACCTGGTGGAACTGCAGAGGGACGGGGGGGAGAGGTGGGGAGAAAAGGAGAAAAGAAGGCCGTTAGTTCTCTGGGGAGCACAGCTCTCTCAGTCGGGGCGCAGCGCAAGACCGGCCTGCCCCTCTAAGGCTCCTCCAGCACTGATGTCACCTGCAGGAACCTAAATGCGTCAACACCCGAGGCGTCAATAGAGGACTGCGGCGCCCGTCCAGAAAACACGCTCCTCCCCTGCCTGCCTGCCTCTGAAAGTAGGCCACCAACAGGCTGAACACAACAAAAACCGAGTTCGGCGAGTCAGGTTAAAGCCTCCAAAAAATACCCCCCACTCCCCATAGCTTTCCTGTTCTTTACTCTTTTCTGCCCTGCACCGGGACCGACGCACCCTGCACCCCAAGGTTCAGACGTGTCCCTCCAGGCGGAGAAAGGGGACGCGGCTCTGAATTCCGAGAATCAGCCTTCGAGCCAAAAAGTCGGTTTCGAACGGATACACATCTATTGGATGTCGGACAGGCTCCTCTCGTTTGTTCATTCTACCGGCCCAGTCCAGGACCGCAAAGGTAAAGTGACGTTTGAGGCTTTCTGTTTTTCTCAGAAATCGCAGTGCCGTGCCGAGATTACAGGGCTTAGGGTACATTCTCTGCCCCCACTTTTTACCAAAAGGAGGAATACACATCTGCAGGTGAGCAGCTCCACGTTCCTGTCAGTTCTATCTCGTGGGCCACGACGAGGGTAAGATGCCAAATATATAACACCCAAATTGGTCAAATTATGCTGTAGAGGTTTAGGAAAATATTTTTGCTCCAGGGTAAATCGCCCACCGGCTCTCCGCGTGCTGAAGAACCCCTGCTTGCTGCTGGGAGTCAGCATCTCCAAGCAGCTTCTGTGCTGTCAAACAACCTTCAATTGACTTTTGACTTTCGGATTGTCTGTGACACCACTGGCAATTGTTTACGTCGGCTAAAAAGGAAAACAGGAGTTCACATTACAGCAGAGCACAACGCCTTAGACATCTGCCGTGACTCAGATCTGTATTCTGTAGAGGTATTGTCTCCTCCCTCTTACCTTCCTCAAAGTCTGCTTCACTGAACTGCCTCTCATTATCACACAGGAAATAGGACCGTTATGTTGTGAACACACCCCAGTCACTAAAACCAGTTTGGTTCCCTTCCATTCTCAGAACTACCCACACTGTCTTATTAGTTTCTCCTTTAAGACACTTGTCTTTAAAAAAATAATTAAATAAATAAGGTCCCCAGGATTGATGACCCTGTGATGCCACTCTGGGCCCCCCTAGAGAACCACAGGCGAAGTGCAAATATTGAGATAATCACATGTCATCTATTGCTGCAAATGTTTGTGACTCTGATATGGGCAGACCAATACTGCGGTATGTATGGGTTGCTGTGTGCCAAGCTGAATGTAGCTCACAGCCCAAACACTCTCTGTGCACCATGCAAAAGCAAAGATGAGATGGCCTGCGCCCATCATTCCTGCAATCTGGTCTCTTAAGCCAGTTCCAGAGGTTGAGTACCACTATACGCCAGCAGCAATATCACCCTGCAACTCACAACTGGCAACCCACTGAAGCTAAGCAGGTATGAGCCTGGTCAGTACCTGGATGGGAGACCTCCTGCGAAAAACTAAGGTTGCTGGCCCCACTAACACCTCTTCCAGCAGGGGGCGCTCACCCTGCGGTCCATGTGGGTTCTAATGCCCCAGTATAGTGATGGGGACACTATACTGTAAACAGGCGCCTTCCTTCGGATGAGAAGTAAAACCGAGGTCCTGACTCTCTGTGGTCATTAAAAATCCCAGGGCGCTTCTCGAAAAGAGTAGGGGTGTAACCCCCGCATCCTGGCCAAACTTTTCCCATTGGCCCTTACCAATCATGGCCTCCTAATAATCCCCCTCTATGAACTGGCTTCATCGCTCTGCTCTCCTCCCCACTGAGAGCTGATGTGTGGTGAGTGTTCTGGCGCAC